TACATGTAAGCCTACTAGATACTAACCACTACTCCATCCACTTCGTGATTTGAAAAACCATGATCCACTGAGCTGCCTTTCTTGATGTTTCAGGCTTTCAGCCTCCTGAGCGAGCTCTAAGCCTCCATAGCTCCTTGACGTCCCTCCCCCTTATTCATTAATCATTAATTAAGCTAAACTACTTATTATTCATAGTGTCTATCCCTAAGGATAGTTTCCAGGAACAGTTACACCCTAACTCCGGACAACTAGAGTAAACTATCAATGATCGGACTCCACCTATATTCGGACACACTTTTCTCAACCTATGAATTGCCAATTTAGATCATTCATGCACTGATTTAAAGACACACTCTAGCCCTACTATATACTGAAAGTCAAGAAAGTTTAGTGACTTATACTTAAAGTTATGCTGCAAAGAACACCCTCGTCCGATATTCCGTAAGATCAGCCATTATCCTGCATCGTCGTACGCTCCTTGATTCTCAGTGATAACATCAGTTATCTCTTATCTAACATCAGCTGTGCAAACATTGATTCTTATACTTCATTTAAGTGCAGTAATAAGAGAAACTGATAGCATTTTGATTTATGGTAAATTTTAAAATAAGTACTCCTAGAGTCCTGTATATTCGGACTAAACCACACCCACTTACAGAGAGTAGTATAGAGTACATTATCAATGATCGTACACTATCAATTTTCGGACACTTGTTTTAGGAAAACTATACATTGCCATCTCATGAAACTGCAAAGTATTATAGCAATAGTTATCCTTTATTTGCGTGACAAAACTTGTAGCTCTAGCAAGAGTGCATAGAAAGTTATAAGCTCTCAAAGCGTGGTGTCCGACAATACCAATGATCGGCCAAAATTCTCAATCTTCGGACTGTCATTTCTGAATGGCAGCAAAGGATAGCTTTAGAAGGTCACTATAATAACTTTGTAGGCCTGTCTTTAAACTAACTATCACCATCCGGATCTTTTTAATAGCTGTCTTTTTGACAGAGATATTGGCCACTTAAAATGTGTCTCCTGATCCCTCAATCATAAAAATGGCGTCGGGTAGTGAAACATGTGACTTTGCTTTGGAGGGAGTTTATGCTGCTCTTCACCGACTTGGCCTCCCCTTTTCTTTATCTGGTGAGCTACAAACACGGAAGCTAACTCTCCAGCAATCTGTCTGGACAGTCAAACTCACCCAATCGGGGATATCTGTTAGTATGTACTGGTCATGCCTT